TCATCCACTGTTAGTGGTACTATGTCATTCCAGGTTACTGTTGCCAATGAATGGGCATATGATGATGGTGCATTCCGTGTAAGTTTTCGCCACATGGGTCGTGTACATTCGACTTCATCTGGATCTATGGGTATATTCCCGTTATTCGGCTTGATGTGATAGATCATCTCTACGATGGCTGATTCTCTCAGAGACTGGATACCTTTGTCTATAGTAGTCCACTTGGCCGAACGACTCATAACATCGTCCTTGTATGGAAACCTTTCTTTGACAGCTGCCAAGAGCCGCCTCCAAAGACTGAGGGACTTTTTCTCTCTTGCAATTGCTTTGTCAATTCCCCCTTCTCTAGCAAGTGATCCCAGCTGCTTGGCTTCTGTACCTTCTAGTTCGTGACCATCGGCCCCATTGTCCCAGCATCGGAGCAACCAGGTGATGATGTGCTCCCCTGGTTGACGGGTAAAATCTTTTCGCATATTCCGTAGCTCGGTTGAGGTCCGAAGTCAAGAAGTCACCTCTCCTTCTTCTTCTTCATCATGTGATGATGACTCCTGATCAGGTTCTGGATCGAGTAGTGAACACATTGTTTCTTCATCTTGCTTTAACCTTCCTGCCTCCTTTTTGCTTTTTCTCTTGCGTACAGGGGCAACCGATATTGGTACGAATTGGTCCTCTGGTTTAGTTGCAGTGGTTATCACTGTGGTTTGAGTAGCGACTGTACTTGTTGCTGGGGGTGATGTGGCTGCTGTACTTGGAGCTGGGGTAGCTGCGCTGTCTGTTGCAGTCGAAGTTTGAGTAGCTGCTGTACTTGTTGCTGGGGGTGGTGTAGCTGCTGTACTTGGAGCTGGAGTAACTGTACTGACTGTTGCTTTGCCCTCAGATCCAGCGACATTTTTTTCCTTTTGAAGGTGCTGGAAACCATTGAACATGGCCCTGTAAGCATAGGCCAAGCCCCAGCACGTTGCCATGATTTGTCCGTCTCTGGTATGGCCAGACTGACCACACACCTCATTTAAGTGTTTTACTAATTCTTCTGGATTTTGCAGTTGTTTGGTGGTGAAATTCCAAAGTACTGGAGGGGCCCACTGACCTAGATACTTGCCCATACTATCCCACACACCCTGCCACTCACTGCTGTCCAGCCTCAGAGAAAATCTCTTGGTCCTCCTACTTTGTCGTTTAACCCCAGACAAGACCCAAACCGGACTCTGCTTAACTTTTGAAAACAGATGAAATAGTCGTGGGCAAAATACACTCTGTATACGTGCCAACATGGTGATCCCCATCACAATCAGCAAACAAGTCTCAATAGCATTAAGAGGCCATTCAAAACTCTCAAATGATGCTGTAAATGCTCTGGGGGGAGGACTGGGAGGGTAAAAGAATGTCTCCTTCACAGGTTGACCACCCGAGAAGGAGAAAGAATATGTGTAACTGCTAAGCACTTCTATTATATACCTCCCAAAGTATAAAGGTGGTGACCATACTGGGAACATAAGCCAGATAAGTTTCATGATCAATAATTCTACTGTGTTACAAGTCATTATCATAAAGTACACTGAGACAAGAACTTTAGCCCAAGCCCCACACTTGAAAAACACTAATACAGCAAATACCAGATCCAAGAAAGTTACAACATTCTGAAGCTGTGAGATCAAGAGGAACAACTTTGAGAGCCAATAAATCAGCATTGTGACGAGTGACTATTAATCCGGTCAGATCTGTTGTTATCTCAACCCCTTCGTGCCCCACGTTGGGCACCAAAAAGAACTGTCATGGTTTAACCCCAACCAAGACAGCTTGTGCACTTACTCCCAGTGAGTGGTGCCAGGCTGGAAGCAATCGAGGCCCATGTTAGTCCGTCCCCCCGCCCCCCTTCCCCAGAGGGATGGGGAGGAGAATCGAAGGAATGCAACTCCCACGGGCTGAGATAAGAACAGTCTAGCAACTAATGTACAATACGAATCACCACCGCTACCACCAACGACAACAATGATAAGAGAAAATAGCAAAGGAAAGGAGTACAATACCACGCGCCGAACCACCAGTCCGACCCGGCCGACCCCCTGTCCTTCCGGGTACCTCCCAGTTCCCCCCTGGGCATGACGTGCTGTGGTATGGAATACCTCTTTGGTCAGTTTGGGTCAGGTGTCCTGTCTCTGCTTCCTCCCGGCTTCCCCTCCTCCCTGGCAGAGCATGAGACTCACAAAGTCCTTGGCCAAACCAAAACATCATTTTTATCAGCTTTGTTCCCAGCCCGAAAGTCAAAACACAGCACTGCACCAGCTACCAAGAAGGAGAAAAAATGACTGCTGCTGCTAAACCCAGGACAGGGCCCCTCACTACAAAAAGACATTGAGGTGCTGGAGCCGGTCTAAAGAAGGACAACAAAGCTGGTGAAGGGTCTAGAGAAGAAGAGTTATAAGGAATGGCTGAGGGAACTGGAGTTGTTTAGTCTAAAGGCGGCTGAGGGGAGACCTTATTGCTCTTCACAATTAAGTGAAAGAAAGTCGTAGCGAGGTGGCTGTTGGTCTCAGTAACAAGTTGACTGGATGAGAAGAAATGGCTTCAAGTTGCACCAGGGGAAGTTTAGATTGGATATTAGGAAAAATACCCTTCCCCAAAAGGGTTGTCAAGCATTGGAACAGGCTGCCCAGGGAAGTGGTTGAGTCACCATTCCTGGAGGCATTTAAAAGATGTAGTGCTTAGGGACATGGTTTAGTGGTGGACTTGGCAGTGCTGGGTTTTGCAGTTGGACTTGATGATCATAAGGGTCTTTTCCAACCTAAATTCTATGGTTCTATTCTATATAACTTGTTAAGGAGAAGGAGAGTGAAGACCACAGTCTGTTTCTTGATTATAAAGCAGGAAATTCTAAGCTGGATCGTTTCTAGGTCCAAAATACAGTGATTTTATTTTTTCCAAGCACATGTCTGATTGCTCTATGTGGAAAATTACTCTTGCAAGTGATTATGGTTTTTGTGGTTTTTTTTTCTCTTGGTTTGGTTTGTTTTTTTTGCTTTTGATTTTTCTTTGATTTGGTAGCCACAATCTGAATGTTGGCTGAAGGGGACAGATACAGATGATGCTTTGATCATAGAATCATAGAATAGTTAGGGTTGGAAAGGACCTTAAGATCATCAAGTTCCAACCGCCCTGCCACGGGCAGGGACACCTTGCTCTAAACCATATTACCCAAGGCCTTGTCCAACCTAGCCTTGAACACTGCCAGGGATGAAGCATTCACAACCTCCCTGGACAACCTATTCCAGTGCCTCACCACCCTAACAGGAAAGAATTTCCTCCTTATATCCAATCTAAACTTCCCCTGTTGAAGTTTTAACCCATTACCCCTTGTCCTATCACTACAGTCCCTAATGAAGAGTCCATCCCCAGCATCCCTATATGCCCCTTTCAGATACTGGAAGGCTGCTATGAGGTCTCCACGCAGCCTTCTCTTCTCCAGGCTGAACAGCCCCAACTTTCTCAGCCTATCTTCATATGGGAGGTGCTCCAGTCCCCTGATCATTCTCGTGGCCCTCCTCTGGACTTGTTCCAACAGATCCGTGTCCTTTTTATGTTGAGGACACCAGAACTGCACACAATACTCCAAGTGAGGTCTCACAGAGAGCAGAATAAAGGGGCAGGATCACCTCCTTCGACCTGCTGGTCACACTCCTTTTGATGCAGCCCAGGATACGGTTGGCTTTCTGGGCTGCAAGCGCACACTGCTGGCTCATGTTCATTTTCTCATCGACCAGCACCCCCAAGTCCTTCTCCGCAGGGCTGCTCTGAATCTCTTCTCTGCCCAGCCTGTAGCTGTGTCTGGGATTGCTCCAACCCAGGTGTAGGACCTTGCACTTGGCATGGTTAAACTTCATGAGGTTGGCATCAGCCCACCTCACAAGCGTGTCAAGGTCCCTCTGGATGGCATTCCTTCCCTCCAGCCTATCAACCGAACCACACAGCTTGGTGTCATCGGCAAACTTGCTGAGGGCGCACTCAATCCCACTGTCCATGTCAGCAACGAAGATGTTAAACAAGACCAGTCCCAACACTGATCCCTGAGGGACACCACTCGTAACTGGTCTCCAGCTGGACATTGAGCCATTGACCACAACTCTTTGTATGCAGCCATCCAGCCAGTTCTTTATCCACTGAGTGGTCCATTCATCAAATTGATGTGTCTCCAATTTAGAGACAAGAATGTTGTGTGGGACAGTGTCGAACGCTTTACAGAAGTCCAGGTAGATGACATCAACTGCTTTACCGCTGTCCATCAGTTCTGTAGCCCCATCATAGAAGGCCACCAAATTGGTCAGGCAGGATTTCCCCTTGGTGAAGCCATGCTGGCTGTCACCAAGCACCTTGTTGTTTTTCATGTGCCTTAGCATGCCTTCCAGGAGAATCTGCTCCAAGATTTTGCCAGGCACAGAGGTGAGACTGACTGGTCTGTAATTGCCTGGGTCATCCATTTTCCCCTTCTTGAAAATGGGGGTTATATTTCCCATTTTGCAGTCGTTGGGAACTTCATCTGACTGCCATGATTTTTCAAATATGATGGCCAGCGGCTTAGCAACTTCATTCGCCAGCTCCTTCAGGACCCGCGGATGGATTTCATCAGGACCCATGGACTTGTGCGCGTTTAGATTTTTAAGATGGTCTTGAACCAATTCCTCTCCTACAGTGGGCCCAAGGTCTCCATTCTCACAGTCCCTGCGTTTGTCTTCCAAGTCTTGGGTGATATTCTAGAATAGTGTGGTTCACTCTTTTAGCTCCAGATCAGAGCACAGAATTAATGAATTAATTTCAGGTTACAAGAATGTGGTTAACTTATGGGATGTAAAGTGGGGGGTTGTTGCAGATATAGTTATCAGTAAGGCTGAGGCAGTAACTGAAGAAGCCTGTAGTTAAGGGAGGAGAGGGTGTCAGTTATGACATCTGTCATTATAATAGTAATACAAATGCAAAACAATTATGGCTTTTTTTCCTCCTTTAAGATTCCTGTCTCTGCAGTGGAGATGCCTGGATCAGCAGATGTGACAGGGTTAAATGTTCAGTTTGGATCAGAGCCTGCACTCCTAGAGTTTGGATCAACTTCAAGCAGTGCGATTGCCAGCCAGGCAACCAACAATAGGTTGTACTCAAAATCTGTAAAGTATGTGTGAGCTTCCCTTGTGCGTTCTTGCGTGTCTTCTTTAGGGAGTTAGGTTTGTGCCAAAAACATTGAGGTACAGTTAACATGTAATGGAAGGGGGATATATGATGACTTTTAAGGCTATTTTCTGTGTATGGCATCTTAAAGGAGAAATTTCTTTTTGAATGACAATCAAGATTTCCCTGGATGGGTTGATGCAAAGCTAGATATGACATGAATGTAAATAACCTTATAATAAGCTACCCTTTATTGAATTGCTTTCTCATGTTTAATTGTCCTGATTTTCAAATTTGTTTGAGGGTTTGTTCCTCACAACCCAAATTTTTCTGCTTTTGATCCAGGAGAGATGACCCTTGTACCATATCTGCATGTCTGTAGGTTGGCACCAGATTACAGATCTGATGCTCCTATGGGATGAGAAAAGAAGCCAGTCTTTCAGTATGTAGAAGCTCTTACTGAAATGCTGAAATAGCCAATGATGAATGCCAATGTGCCAGTGACCCTTTAAAAAAATATTCATTCAAAAATTAGCTTCAGCAAAAAGCTTCCTAAAGCTAATTCAGAAATACTAGTAAAAATTAACTTCCACATTAATTTCTAGCTCTATAAATTAAGCTGTTTAGAAAGTAAAACACTCCTGCATGTTTTAAAATATTTTTTCCTCTTTGCATAGCTCATTCTTTTAGATGTTAGAATTCTATTATAAAAGAGACTGGGTGTTTCTCATAATATACCAGACTTTATGGATCTGTTGGAACAAGAAGAGAGATTATGATCATTAATTTATCCTTTAAGAATGTGGAAGTAACATGACTGAAAAATGCTTGTGTGAAAACTCTTTGTTGGGCAGTGATTACTGGGGACAAAGGCAAAAAAATTTTTTTTTTTTTTTATTTTAGATTTTGGTGTTTTTTGTGGTTTTTTAGGTTTTTCTAGTTTTATAAATAGTATAGATTTGACTACATGTTTAAGGTAGTTCTAGATAACTCTATAGGAGCTGATATTTTTATGAATGTGTTTGAGATGTCATTTACTAAGATGATAAATAATTTTTACTTTTTCCAGTGATTTTTTGAATACCTCTTTGCCAATATCCAATACAGTACAGGAGTCCACCTACACAACCTCTGCTGTCACCTCTTCCAGTCTCACCTGCTCATCCCAGGGCACTAGCTCAGTGACAACTTCCTCCTATGACCAGACTTCTGTGCATAGTAGGATAGCGTACCAAAGCCCCATGGCTACATCTGAATCAACCCCTGTTGCAGTTACGGTGAGTGAATTTCAGGAATAAGACCTTGAAAAAGGTGAATATTCTTATCCATGTTAGACTTGTATTGCCCTGTTATGTTAATATTTTAACCAAGCCAAGTGGTACTTTTGATTCGCAGGGTCACTGTGTTGTTTGTTTTTTTTCCTATTGTGTAGCTTTTTTTTCTTTTTTTTTTTTTTTTTGTTGTGATATAAAAGCCTCTGATTTTATGGTGGTTTTGTTTGGTGGTTTGGGGGTGTTTTTACCTTTTAAATTGCCATTTGACCTTTTTTCTTAGTAATACTTAACATTCTAGTTGAGTTTCCTTCCCCAAAGCTTAGCTTCTTAAAAAGGAACTTTCTCTGTGTATAAATATTCGTTATGGCATTTTTCAATAACTTGACAGTTTATATCCAAAGGTATATTATTTATTGAATTTATACGGCACCTGGCAAAAGGATCTCAAACTGTTTGTGTCCCCATCAGCTGTATTCTTTTAATTGGATTTAAACAGCAGTGGGAATTAGTTTCATGTGTTTATTTTTAAAAGTATAAGGAGAGTTCTAATCTAGGACAGAGAGGATCTCTCTTGGGAGATATTCAAAAGCACCTACTCTCTTTGTATGTGCAATGTAGGTTTGTTTTAAGATAATTTATTAAATGTTTAAAGAACTTGTCATAATTTGTAAGTTTATTTACTTCTGGCCTTTGTTATGTAATGGCTCGGTCATACTTGTCTTCTGCACTAGCTCATATGCACTGGTGAGGATGAAGTGTAGACTATCAACTTCTGTACTCCAGTGTTATCCAAAAACCAACTGTTGCTTCTTAAGTCTTTCAATAAAAAAAAAAAATGGTGTCTCTGTGTAACTTGGATAGTTAAAATTGTGAGTTGTATTAGATCAAATGCACAACCATTTCCTATATGTTAATGCAATTCTTTTTTTCATATTGGTGTGCACCTGAAGTTTGTTATATGCAGTACATGAGAAGGTCTCCTGCTGATGGGTGTAACACCTTGCACTTGACACTTTATTATGTGGTTTTGTTAAAGGCAGTAAAAAGTTATTTCTGCCCTTTTTTTGTCTTTCAATTTAGAATGAATATAGAATTTTGCATGAAGATTGTTCAATGTGTCAGTCTGAAAATTTAATATACATTTAAGATGATTTATTAATTTCTCCTTTGTTTACAGAACAGGCACAGTGGTGTTAGAACACAGGCAACTCTTGACAGTAAGTTTGCAAAGCTTGGTTGCGCACAGGACTTTCTGATCTTTCCTACTACTTGCTTTGTGCACAACTGAATCGGTGACATCTGTTTTATGTTTTTATATTGTTCTCACTGGCTAATTTTTGGCTGACCCATTTGGGTTTATTTTGTACTTGCACAGGATACATTGCTTGCTTCTTGACTAAAACTGCAGTATGAAAGCAGCCCTATTAAATCTGCAAACCTAAGCAGTCTCAGAATTAGAGAAGCTGCTTTGCAGCTGATTTTTCTTTTGACTGTATCTGCCCAAAACCAAAACAAAATATAAAATTAAAAAATAATATCAAACTTGGCAGTTCTTCCAGCTCTCTGTTGTGAAGCTGTGAGTAACATCTAGGTATAATGAAACAGTCACATTCTCTGAATGCACCTCTTGCTGGGTATAGTGCTACTTATGTCCTGTTACAAGCCTGTGAGTAACATGCTCCCTCTGCCAGGTAGCTTGCTGCCTTACAGTGGAGTAACAGTAAAACAGTACTGGCTCTGATACAGACATTACTGTTACCTTCATCTTGGCCTGTTTCTAATGAGGTATTTCAGTTGTAGCAGCCCTACAGCTCTCTTCCTGGAGTTAAAATAATTATAGCATTCACTCTTCTGACCTTTATGTGCTGCTCTGTGGAAGTTTTCAAGAGCAGCAGTGTGAATTAACATCTTATGGAATTACAGCACTTCAATTTTAGATTTTAGGTCTGTCATCCTCTTAAACATCTCTTCAGGTAGGGCCTGAAGTTCAGATCTGTAAACAGTGTTTTGTCAGTGCCAAGTTAAATTTCAGTGAGCTGAAAGAGTGTATATACCCAAAGAGTTACCACTTAAAAGATTGTCATATATAAAACCAGCTTTTCAAGTGAAAACTTTCTTAGTCTTACATACAGAACTAATAAACAATTTATGAAATTCACTACAGGACTTGTCTTTTTGCTTATGTGAAAAAAAGATCTGAGAATTAAATGTGTTCAAGGATAGGTTGGATGGGGCTTAGAGCAACCTGGTCTAGCGGAAGGTGTCCTTGCCTGTGGCAAGGGGGTTGGAACTAGATGATCTTTAAGGTCCCTTCCAACCCAAACCATTCTATAATTCCTAATATTTTTATATTTATTCTATAATAGCTTTATTATTTCTATGCCAGTTCTGAAAGAACTTCCTCTCCCCCTGCATCTCAAACACATAGAATCATAGAATAGTTAGGGTTGGAAAGGACCTTAAGATCATCAAGTTCCAACCCCCCTGCCATGGGCAGGGACACCTTGCACTAAACCATATCACCCAAGGCCTTGTCTAACCTGGCCTTGAACACTGCCAGGGATGGAGCATTCACAACCTCCTTGGGCAACCTATTCCAGCGCCTCACCACCCTAACAGAAAAGAATTTCCTCCTTATATCCAATCTAAACTTCCCCTGTTGAAGTTTTAACCCATTACCCCTTGTCCTACCACTACAGTCCCTAATGAAGAGTCCATCCCCAGCATCCCTATAGGCCCCCTTCAGATACTGGAAGGCTGCTATGAGGTCTCCACGCAGCCTTCTCTTCTCCAGGCTGAACAGTCCCAACTTTCCAAGACTATCTTCATATGGGAGGTGCTCCAGTCCCCTGATCATTCTCGTGGCCCTCCTCTGGACTTGTTCCAACAGATCCTTGTCCTTTTTATGTTGAGGACACCAGAACTGCACACAATACTCCAAGTGAGGTCTCACGAGAGCAGAATAAAGGGGCAGGATCACCTCCTTCGACCTGCTGGTCACACCCCTTTTGATGCAACCCAGGATACGGTTGGCTTTCTGGGCTGCAAGCGCACACTGCTGGCTCATGTTCAGTTTCTCATCGACTAGCACCCCCAAGTCCTTCTCTGCAGGGCTGCTCTGAATCTCTTCTCTGCCCAGCCTGTAGCTCTGTCTGGGATTGCTCCGACCCAGGTGTAGGACCTTGCATAAACTGGAATCAGTCTTCTACCATGTATCTATTTCATGCATCCAAACTATTTTGAAATTCTATTCTTAACATTTGAAAGTACTGACCTTTTCCCTACTGTATGTGCTGATAATATTCTTAGTTGTTCATCTCTCATCTTTGCTGCTGTCCTTTAATATCCAGATCTCATTCTTCGTAAACCCTTAGTGCAAAGCATGGCTGGTGTTTTATACTCATGACCATCCTACTTGTTTCCTGGTTGTCTTTGTTTTGCACATTGTGTTCCGGTATCTTATAAGGGGTCTTGATGAAGACCCCTTTTTACTTAAGGAATGGAACCCTGCTCTAAATATATTGAGAGTTGTAAATGTTATTTACTTATTTGTATATGTATCTTGCCAGGAGGTATCAGGTGATACAGTTGCCTTCTTCATAACTGTGTTTCTGTTTGTCACTTTAATTTCCTTCTCTGTTGTCAGTTACCATCACTTATTGCCAAGGCCAAGATCTCTTGATTTCTGTTTGCATAGCACCCCATCCAGCAACCTGACTTGGGTCATTTAGTGAGGAAACCAAACCAATAACATTAACAAACTGTAATGCATAACTTCCAAGCATGACCATTCTAAGACTGTCTTCATGTGCATTGCAAGTTAGTGATGATCCACTGGCTAGTGGTCTCTGGTGTGGTATGGAAGCATGGCCTGGCAAAAGGCAGGGCTCAGCTCTCTTTCTGAATTTTATTGATGGGCAAGTGACTCTAATTCTTTGTCTTATCATCATAGGACAAGAGGTAAGTGTAGAAACAGCTGGGTATTATGTTGGGCAGCAGAGTTGTTCTGTGTCTTATTACAGTATAGTGATCCTTTGGAAAGGCACATCTGTTCTACTCTGTATAGCCTAAAAAGTAATATTAATGCTAAATGCTTTTTGTTATCTAGGTCAAATAAAGTAAGACTATTTGACAACTCTTTAGCCGTTAAAAGTGCTTAATGCTGTGCTCAGTTGTAGCTTCTTTTATTCTACTGCATTACACATTTGACTTGTTCTCCAAACTGGTAAGTTGTATGTGCCCTCACACTACAGTTATCCAAGTCTCAGATATCAAAGGTGCTGTGTAGGTTGGAATGAAGAAGCAGAGATGTAGGTAAAAGCATATTTGTACAGTGCCTTGAAAAGCACAAATGACTTGTTTGCAGAACCAAATGCAAGGAATTTTAAAATGAAGATTGACTTGCAAGTGAAAGTTAGTAACCTAGATAGTGGGAGGTAAAGTGCATAAGATTGTACGTGTGTAGCAGTGAAAATTATAAATCTATTGTAGGTGAAGAGCTTAAAGGGGAAAAAAAGATAATTCTGTTGCTATTTGAATTTTCATTAATAGCCAGACTGCTTGATACTGTTACTGGTTCTTAATGGTCAGGTTTTTGTAAAATGGGGGAAGAATACTGTTATGTTCCTGGATCCAGGCTGGGATGTCAGGTATGCTGGAATTTGTCTTTGAATACCTCTTTTTAACTTGTTGCAGCTACTTCATCAGTCCCAGAGCCTTTTCCTTCGCTATCTCCTGCTGGTTCTCTGACTAGCATGGTATCCACCACTGCCTCGCTTCTGCCTTCAGCATCACAGAACATGGCAATGTTGTCTAGCTTGCATCAGTCCGTTGATTTGGCCAGCAGCTCTCTTTCCCAGTTAAACAGGTACAGGAGGAATTGTGATAAACTGAAAGGGTTTCCATTTTGGGAAAAGAGCAAATGTAAGGGTGACTGTGTATGGGGGCTGTCAGACACCTGGGTCCCCTTTTCTGGCATTAACATTAACTAGAGAGAGATCTAGGAGAGACCAGGATGTTTCTAGTTGCAAAGCATGAGCTCTGGGCTGCCTTTTAATGGTAGAGCAGCTGCTACCCTCAAGTTTTTGTGGTATATAAGCAACTTTGTGTTTCAACGGGCTCTTGCTTCAATCATGGCAGCTAAATTTAATCCCTCATTTTGCTTTTCTTACTTTGTCCACAGTGCTTGCTGTTTGTTTAGTGTTGTATGTTTGAAATCATTCCTTAATGGTTTACTTCCTGGCTGGTTTTGAAATATTGTAGCTTCATTTATATTTGTATTTCTTAGAATTAAAAATTAAATAATTCCTTGGGGGCAGTGCATGGTGTTTTGGTTCTTTGGGTTTGGGGTGCGGTGTTTTTTTGGTGTTTGGTTTTTTTTGTGTGGTGGGTTGTTTGGGTTGTTTGTTTTTTTTGCTGGGTTTTTGGTCTGTTTTTGTTTGGGGTTTTGTTTGTTTGTTTGTTTGTTTTCCTAAGCCATTTTCTTAAGACACTTTGAAATATTAGATTGGTGTTCCTGGAAGTATATTTAGCACAGCTTAGCTCATTTGCACTATGTCTGATTTTTCAGTGCCTGTTACTTGAACTTCACCCTCAGGCAGGTGACATCTGAGGCTATAATGGTTGAATTATATTTAATACTCACCTTTGTACTTTATTTGTTAATATATGAAAGTAATTTGATGGGCTATCTGTCATGGTTTAAGTCCAGCCACACAGTCTCTCTCTCACTCCCCCTCCTTCCTCCCCCCCCCGCTCCTGGAGGGATGGGGAAGAGAATCAAAAGAATGTAACTCCCATGGGTTGTGATAAGAACAGTCCAGTAACTAAGGTATAACACAAACCACTGCTGCTACCACCAGTAATAATAATGATAAGGGAAATAACAAGAGAAGAGAATACAACCGCTCACCACCTGCCTCCCGATACACAGCCCCACCCAAGCAGTGATCTAGCCCTTCTGGGTAAGTGCCCCCAGTTCTACATCCTGGGCATGATGTGCTGTGGTATGGAATACCTCTGGCTATTTTGGGTCAGGTGTCCTGTCTCTGCTTCCTTCTGGCTTCCACTCCTCCCTGGCAGAGCATGAGACTCACAAAGTCCTTGGTCAGACTAAACATTACTTAGCAACAACTGGCTGTTCCCAGGCTGAAAGTCAAAAACACAGCACTGCACCAGCTACTAAGAAGGAGAAAAATGACTGCTACTGCTGAACCCAGGATATGTTTTTTTTCTGTTCCACAGCTAGGACATGGTTGATCCTCTTTTAATACACTAGTGTTTTCTGTTGATTAAAATGGTAAATGTGTCAAATAAGAATTATTCCATTCACGTTAGAAACAACATCTTCCCATATTTGTTTGTTGAAAAGCTGTGTACATTTAGTTGGAGGATTGATGCTGTTGGACAGATATCCAGCACCATGAAAAGATGATGCCTGAATTCCAAGCATGTCTGACTTGGTTGTTCTGGAGGCTCTTGTCTGTGTCCCTACCATAGGTCAGATGGTCAATAAAGGTTTATTAGAAGAGCTGGGGAGAGTGTGGGAGGGAGTGGTTTAAAACCACATGTTGGACTGAACCACTTATTTCTTTGTTGCCTGAAGTGGTGTCATTATAATTCCTGCAGACAGGGAACAGATTTAAAGAGTCAAAGTAAAATTAATATATGAAACTGCCAAGTTTTATTCTGGTTCCACACCTTGAAGAGCTGGCAGAAGTGTTTGCCCTTAAATTAAGGCATATAATTTAGCCTGCAACTTTGTTATGAAAACTGCTGTATTTTCTTGTGGCTATTTCCATAGGGAACACTAAAATATTTGTTATGGTAAGGATCTCTCTTGTTTCTGATTTCACATGAGGAGAGGCTTTTTGAGCACCAAACTATATGCTGCTGTTACTGCCAGAAGTTCACAGGCCTGATCAGCTAGGGGAAAAAGGTGGTGAAGCATGGAATCACTATACAGCTCAGAGGGAGTTATAAAGCAGGTATGTTTATTACGGCGCCTGGTGCAAGGGGGAATCACTCCTCCTAACTTGCATACAGAGGGGTTAAGCAAGCAGATATTTATTACACACAAACATGCATATTCATTAGATTCCCAAGAGAGCATCGGGGATATTGAAATTAGTTTAGGTACTCACTATCATAAGTTTCCTCCCTTTTGGTTCTTGAGCACTGCCCTCCCATGGTCCTGGGCGGGGGTCTTCAAGATGAAGTAAGCAGTCTTCCTCATGGTGCACTTTTCACCTTTGGCACAGTTGGATGCTCCAGTAATCACAAAACTAGCTGAAACCAGCCATATCTGCAAGTTTCTGATAGCTGGCAAAGATTTAGGGCAGTGTGACCTTCATACAAAATTTATTGCAAGTAGAACAGGATGGGCAGACAAGGAGTATCCTAAGCTAGCAGATGTTCAGGAGTCACTGTCTCCAAACTAACTGATAATTAGCAGGATGGTAAGAAATAATTAACTCATTAGAAGGATGGAAAGAAATAATTCACTCTTGTTAGTAAGACTACTAAATTCTGTTATCACACCACAGACTTACAACACAAACATTGTTCTCTATCTTAGACCTAAGTTAAGTTAAAAGTATTTTAACCCTATGTTTTCCAGGCACTTGCTTTCCTTATATCAGTGGTGTTAAAGCAGAGTTGCTTCCTAAAACAAATTTATCTGCGGATGTTTTTCATCAGGGGATTCTTTATGTTCATATTTTGCAGTACATGTATAAAACTGAACTGATAGTTCTGAGTCATCTTTTCAAGGAGGAAATGGCTTTTGGTGGGGTGTGGTGATATGAACCAGCCTTGATTAAATTGCCAGATTCTGTAGTAGTATGTTTAAGTTTTGGGCTTTCACAGATGCTCTTCATTTACTGGCTTTGTGGTTTGCTTGGGGTTTTTATGTGGTTGGGGCTTTTTTTCTTGGTTTTTTTTTTTTTCTTGTTTGTTTGGTTTTGGTTTTGGGGGGTGTTGGTTTTTGTTTGCTTTGTTGGGTTTGGGTGGTTTTTTTGAGCCCTGTCTTTTGAGAGCGTGTTCAGGCTTTTGGCAGACTTGTGGGGAAAATTCCTTGCAGTTCTAAGTGGTTGAACTAATGTTATGCAGGTTATGTGAGAAATACCATGAGTCAAACCAAAGCACCGCCTCACCTAATTAATACCTATGCCCTGTAGCAGGCAGTAGCAGTTGCTTAGGGAAAGAATGTGAAACAAACCTTGTGTTGTGTGAACCTTCTTTTGGTTTTGGACTTTACATGTGTTTGATTTGTTGCTATGTAATTCCTGAATCAGCTACTGTTTTTTCGAAAAAGATAGTAAATTGATAAATACAAATGAATGGTGGTTTAGATGTTTCTTGTTAGTAATTGTCTCTGTACTTCAGTTTCTTTTATTAAACAGTAGTAGGATATTAATTAAAGGAAAAATTTGTAATTGTCTGTCTCTCTATATATATACATATGTGTATATACACACATCACTTACAGACATTTTTTCCTTTAATATCCTGCTGTGTATGTGTATACACACACCTACAATTTTTTATTCTTTAACTAATATCCTACTACCTACTCTGTGTTTGTGTATATATGTGTGTATATATACATATTTAAAAATGTCCTAGGAAAAATTTTCTTTGCAATTTCTTTCTAGTTCCCTTTCCAGTCATCAGAGCAGCCTCTCCCCTGCTTCAGTGTTGCCTTCAAGCACATCATATGTGGTAAGTCCTATCTGGATTTCAACAGATTTTTGGCATATCGTCAGTTTATCTGATGATTAAGATCCTCTCTTAAAGTTCATTGTGTCCCAGTACAGCAAGAACCCAAACAAGAGCCTTATCTGAAGGACTGCCAGCCCTCTAGTGGTAAAAAAAGTCTTCAGCACTTTTGATTTGTACTAGATCAAGAATAGCTATTACAGAGACTTGCCAGTCACACAACTGTAGAGGAAATTTTTATGCCAACAAGGGAGGATAGAATAAAGAATTTCTTTTAACAAATGTATTAAAAACAAACAAACAAACAAACAGAGCCACCACCCCAAAGCAGAACAAAAAACAAACCCCAACATTTTAACCTAGCTGTCTGAAACTTCTCCACTGGAGAGGTTAGCTGTCAAAATGCAGGTGATGGAATGATGTATATCATGACAGATGGTTTTTAGAGTTTACCATGTGGCATTATTGTTGCCTGTATATTTAATACATTTGAATTAAGAAGTCAAATGGTATTGAACACAGTGTTCTAGATGAAGTTGCACAAACAAGTGAGACGCTGCCTTGTTCTGTGATGGGGTACCTCTATACAATCCCAGTTGGGGTGTGCAGGTAGGTTACTGCTTTTCTTTATGCCTGTATTTTGGTTTATATTGCTCCATCCCTACTGCATATGTAACTTAAAAATTTACACTTATCCAAACATCCTTCTTTTCTGTTGTCAGAGTTGTTTTGGCTTCTTTGTGTTGATGACACCGTTTTGCAAGTGTGATCAGCTTACAGCTAAGGCACTGTATGGTGCTGGATTCAAACCAAGAACATCCTTTATCATTATATGTTCCTGTAATAGATCTGGTCTGCATTTCAGTTTACCACATCAGCTCTGTTGTGGGGCACTGCTGTTTTAATCTTTTAAATTCTACAAGTGCACTGAGGAAATCATGATAGCAGTGTCCTGTATTTTGAAGAAAAATGCTGTCTTTTGGGAAAATATAGGAGTTCGTTTAACATAACAGGTATTGGCTGAAAAGAGTATATAAGCAAAGGGCAAGAAATAATGCCATGGAGTGACATTTGAGTTACTACTGTATAATTTTGTGATGATGTAGTCATTTGAATGTAACTCTTGTGTAATAATTTTCTATGAATACTTAAAAAACACAAGCATGCAAATTCATTGCTTGCTTGGTACATAGAGAATGCGTATCTTTTTCTTTTGCATGTGCTGCTGTTACTTAAAAGATTGCTGTTTTGGGGTGGTTTTGTGGATATTTTTTGTTTGGTTATGTTTTTTCCCCCAGGATCTTCCACTGTGGTTTATTTGCTCCATGATCCTCATTCTTTTTGTCTCCTTTCTAGCACACTAGTGTTGAGAACACAACTTCACTTCAGCCCTCAACAACTTTTTCAGCTGTTTCAACCTCAGCCACTAGCACCACCTCTTCAGTTGTCAGCATGGCAAACAGTATGAACACTACAAACAGCCTTGGCCTGAGTGCTTCCAGTGTGTCTATACCAGCTGCTTCCACACAGGCAGCTCCCTTAGTGGCTTCAGGTTTGCAATATTAACATTAATATTACATGGATAGACAGAGGACTTCAGTTGGCAGGGATATCAGTTGAGCATCTCACCAGCCATAACTACGCTGAGAAATCCACACTCTTGACTAGAATTTTCAGCATGCTTTATTTGTTGGCTTATGAAGTCGCCTGGTTCTGTTTTTGAAATATTTGTTAGGGTGTTATGTGGCATTTATAGAGCACATTCCATCCCCAAAGAGCTTTATAAATAGACACCAGAGCAGTTCTAACTTTAGAAGTTTTGGGCTAGAGATTTGCCCAGTTTGTCTTGGCTGTGAATTCACATCATCTTTAATTTCAGTCTTCTCTGTGATTTGAATTCATTTGTCAGTATCAAAATGTACTGCAGTGTCCTCATTATCATATGCCATATCCCTACTGCCACATGTACAGAAAGGAAAAAAGCGTCTAGTGTCTGTGTCATTCCAAAACAAATAGCACTTCAGAAAAAGGGCCCACAGAGAGAGAAAGAAGGTGGGGAGGCCTCTTGCACTGAAGTGGAAGTAATGCTAAATTCTCTTTTGCTTCTGTAATCAACCTGAACTGCTAAAAGGAAATCCTATGGAGGGAACTAAATGATCTAAATATTACGATCAAACTTACAGAAGGATTTCTCATTTCTAATTCTAATACTTTGTAAATGAAGTGTCTGATGACTGGCCAAAGTTCATTTTTTATTTGTTTATTTTTAAACTCTTCTGCTTCCTGGCACTGCTTCATTGAAGCAACTGAAACTGTTTCAGTCTTCTCTTTGCTATTCCTAGCTGCAATAATTCACCCACAAAAAGTATGCTGGCAAAATTTCATGTTTTCCAGTCTATTGCTAGTGATAAAGGGTTAGTGTTAACAGAATTAACACTAGTGTTAACAGAGCAGAAAATGAGAGAATTTACAACAATGCCTGAATTTTGCCTGCAGGAGCGGATTGAGGAAAGGAGACTTCCTGTAGTTCTTGTAATCCTCTTGGACAAAGTAAATGACAAAATCAGACTGGTCTCTGATAGGGCTGTTTTCAGTCTTAAGCAGCCTGTGCTTTTTCCTTTCCTTTGAGGCATGGTCAAAGTCTTCAGGCTATTTTAAGCATTCTCATCAACCAGCACAAAATTCTTCTGCTTAGTTCTGCTCTTTACAAGCTATGACAGTGAAGCCGCCAGGGTTTGTGAGCTATGTTGTCTCAGTGCTGAAGCCTTTTCTTCTCTAGAGGCTTGTTAAAAGTGTCTATATTTTGATTCTGCAGGCAAAGCTCCCCCAAACCTGCCCCAAGGTGTACCACACTTGTTGCATAACCAGTATATTGTGGGACCTGGAGGACTTCTGCCTGCCTACCCAGTAAGCAATTTAATTGTTCCCGTCCTTGATTACTTAACTCTGGTGCAAATGGGCCCTCCAGACCTGCTGCGGTCTATGCCAAGGCATTTCTGTCAGCACGTTGCATCTGGAATTATTGTTCCAAATGATGAAGAATATGTGAAATTAACTCACAGGGTTTACTGTTGATAGTACACTACCAAACCGCTGGTACAGACCTGATTTAGCTGCTGTTGAAGCTAAATGTGCATGTTGCTTTGGTTTTCAGTGGTATCAGGTTTTTAGACCTTTGAGTAAAATTAGACTTATTGAGGTTTGTGTTACTGGAATAGATATACTATAGTAATAGCTGAAATGTTCCATGTGTCCTTTCTGTCATACTTTGAAAGATTGCACATAGCTGCTTGGTGTCTGACCAGGATCAACGTATTTTGGTTATCTTGAATCAGGAACTTCATTCTAATAATTTTTCTGTATCACACTGAGTACAAGGGGATACCATAAGTCGCTTTGTGGTCTAGTCATTAAATCTTAAATCCTGCTGTTCTCAGAAGTAATGATTGAAGCAAAGAAGGCTGTTGCTCTTACTTCCAAATCTGAATGCCCTGTACATTTTTCACAAGTTGATGAATGATGTATCTGTGGAAACAGTGTTGAAGATGGGACACTAATATTCTCAGAGGGCTGCCGTCACCAAGAAACAGCAGAGTGATAAGCCGTTTTAAGCTTACCTCTACTAGCCTTAAAATGCTACAGTGCACCATGATAGCACAATGCGACATATAGCTGTACACCTTTAAAACAGACTGTTTAAAGCCCCAAATAGGTAAGTGTCAGAGAAAAGTGTTATAATGATGTTTTATTTTTATTTGTCTTTAAGCAGATTTACGGTTATGATGATCTCCAGATGCTTCAGTCCAGGCTGCCAATGGTAAGTAAATGGCTTGGCTTATTTAAACAAGTTACCTTCAGTATCGATTGTTTGTGCAACAGAAATTAGTGCATTTGATGGTGACTAAGAGCTTATCTGTATGTAGTATATTGTGGGCATGCTTTGTGCTTTTGAGAAGGCAAGTTTTTAATTGTTGTAGCAACAACATGTATCTTGTCAAATCTAGTTGAACCCTGAGTGGGAATGTTTTCTTTTACCAAAAGGTAAGGTTGAACAGCAAGTACACAAATTGGCAGCCAGTAGGTGCATCTGAATGGTTTTGGAGGCACTCATAGGTAGAGATCTTTGTGTATGCATCATGGCAATAAATGCAGGTGAGCTGCGGGAGGGGAAGAGTATATAATATTTTCTTCCTTACCTGGATACAGAACATAAATGGTGTGTGAGAAAAGCTGTGAGTTAGATTCACAAAGAGCCTCAGCCTGGATTGTGGAAAGGTAATTTTGTTTTCAGAAAACTGGGGTAAGGATCTTGGAGAGAAAGTTTGCTAGTATGTAACAGAGAAAAGTCACAGGATTAAAGTGATGCAGTGCATCCCTAGAGGCAGAAATGGAGCAATGAGTAGTGACCTGGAAAAGAAGTATCACTGGATGAATGCCATAGCTAAAGGTCCAGTTCAGTACCATGTCTTCCATGTGGAGTCTGGAGACAGCAAGAGTCAGATAGTCAAAGGTGAGTACAGGGATGTCCCAGGCAAAATCCTGTCCAGTTGCACATCCCGAACACCCATCTCAAAACCAGGCAACTTTATATGCCAGCAAATAAAGCATGTTGAAAATGCTAGTAAAGAGTGTGGATTTCTTAGAGCAGTTATGACTGGTCTTAGGAGGAGCAGCTGAGGGAACTGAGGTTGTTTAGCCTGGAGAAAAGGAGGCTGAGGGGGGAACTTATTGGTCTCTACAACTACCTGAAAGGAGGTTGTAGTAAGGTGGGTTTTGGTCTCTTTTTTTCCAAGTAACAAGGGATAGGATGAGAGGTCAGAGGGACTGTATCATTCTCTACCTGAAAGGAGGTTGTAGTGAGGTGGGGGTTGGTCTCTTCTCCCAAGTAACACATAATAAGACAAGAGGGCACTGCCTCAAGCTGTGCCAGGGAATGTTAAGATTGGATATTGGGAACAATTTCTTCACTGACAGGGTTGTAAAGCATTGGAACAGACTGCCCAGGGAAGTGGTTGAGTCTTTTCTGCAGCTGAACTTTCCCTTCCTGCCCAAGTCTCTTTTCTGTCTGTAATGCCCTGGTGTTGACTGTAGTCTGTTTCCCTTTCACTTGTGTGTCACCTTTGTTTTCATATTAGCTGATCTTTTCACCTTTGGACGGATTGTGAAATGATGTTGCTTGGAAGAGCCTGGGAAGCTTGAATAAATACTTAAAAAGCCATGTCAAATAAAATAGAATAATTTATAAATATACAAGTAGTCAGTGGAGGCTCAAAGTCCATGGCTGTTCTTGCAGGGGATGTTGTCATCAGGGAAGGCAAGAGGATGGAGGTGGGGATGGTGCGGTGGTCCAAAAGTGATGGTGGCAGCATGGGTGGGGCCACGCAGGTTGGTCAGGGTAGTTGGGCTAATTGCACATAATGCAGGCAAGGCTGTGGAGGCATTGGAAGCAGACACGAGATGCTAGGCAGACATGGCTGCCAGGTGGCTGGCTTTATGCGGTGCCATGGCTTTCCCTTTATTGTTTTCTTATTTCAGTGAATTTCCGACCGTGGTTTTCAGTTTGGCTGGTGGTTGTGGTGATGTTGGGGAAGTGTGGTGGTGGGGTGGCCATGCTTGGAGAGGGCGGTGGTGTGTTGGGGGCAGGTTGGCTGTAGTGGTTCAGTGGAGGATGTGAAAGTGTTGGGGTAGTGACACGTGGGGCAATTTTGCTGCTGGTCTGTTTTTGTGGTTTCTCCTTTCCCACTGTCCTAGATTCAACTGTAGCAGTTATTTTTCTTCTTCTTAGTAGCTGGTGCAGTGCTGTGTTTCAGCCTTACTCTGAGAACAATACTCATAACACACCAGTGTTTTAGTTGTTGCTAAGTAATGCTTACTCCGATCAAGGACTTTTCAGTCTCTCATGCTCTGCTGGGATGGAGCAGAGACAGAACACCTGTAGGTGAACATCCAAGAAGAGTTTCCCACCACTGGTGTTCTGCACCTCTCTTGACTCATTCTGACATGTGATGTATTTCTTCTGCAACATGATGGTCAGTAATATGTCTTTTGTCCATTGTCTCAAGCTTGCTTCAGCAGTTGTTTCAGGTCTTCATGTAGCAGCAATTTTCATCTTAAGGTGAGATTCATCCCAATGGGGGTAGGTAGTAGGTCTTGAATTAGCAGATAGATAAACCCCATTAAGACAGGACAGGAGCTGAGCAAGTGAAATCATATCCAATAAGCTCAACAAAATTACAAGCATAAATATTTGAGTCATTATCTGTATCCACAGTAACATTATCTATGCGTATAAAGTCACAAAGAGTTCTCATGCAAGCATATCCTTTGCCAGTATATAAAAGCACAGTTTCAGAGACTTAATCGGGATATATTTCAAAATTACAAATGTTCTCTTCAGTGTCAAGGCAAATGGCTTGACCTTTGATGGTGTTACTCTCACAAATAAACTCTTGTTCTTTTCCATGACTGTGTTTAGGGTGTGTGGGGAGCATGGCTCCTGTGCTGTTATGGTTCAGTGGGGGATGCAAAAACCTTGTAGCAGAGGCTTTTGGGGCAGCTGTGTTGGGAATGCGTTTTGGGGTTTCTATTTTGTGTTGCTTGTGAATTGGCTCACTTAGTTTTTATTTCCAAGTTTCTCTGCCTACCAACTTCTGTTTTTCTTATTTCATGCTCTGATATTATTTGTATATACGAGTTAATGCATATTTTCCTTTGTTTCTTATTGACAAATATTTTTAGGTTCTTAGTTTGTCAGTCTGGGGGGGGGGGTCTCCCCCCCCCCCCAATTTTTTTCCGTAACACCTGCAGCCTTCATGGTGAAAGAGTTTTTCCTCTCTCTGCAAATATCTTGCAGAATGGTTTTGGGGTCATTTGTCATCCCCCTCGCTCTCTGAGTTATTTGTCCTCAGTGTGTTGATCTTTATAAATAAATGTTTAAATGTTGTGAATGATTTTTCATCAACTATTTACACAATGATTGTAATTTCTGGATTTTGTTTTTTGGGGGGGGGGGTTTGTTGTTTGTTTTGAATTTCTTGTAGAAATTAGGCAACATTAGGTGTGTGGGAATCAGGAGCCGATGGGAATGCTTGTCTTTGACAAATGTCCTGGGTTTAACAGCAGCAGTCATTTTTTTCTCCTTCTTGGTAGCTGGTGCAGTGCTGTGTTTTGGCTTTCGGGCTGGGAAGAAAGCTGATAAAAAAGATGTTTTGGTTTGGCCAAGGACTTTGTGAGTCTCATGCTCTGCCAGGGAGGAGGAGAAGCCGGGAGGAAGCAGAGACAGGACACCTGACCCAAACTGACCAAAGAGGTATTCCATACCACAGCACGTCATGCCCAGGATGTAACTGGGAATTACCCAGAAGGGCTGTGGACTGCAGGGTTGGAGGAGGTATCGGTCGGTGCTTGATCGGGCTGGGGGGGGCAAGTTATCGATAGTTCTTTTTGGCGCCCAACGTGGGGCACGAAGGGGTTGAGATAACGACAGATCTGACGGTCACAATGCTGATTTATTGGCTCTCAGGGTTGTTCCTCTTGATCTCACAGCTTCAGAATGTTGTAACTTACTTAGAGCCGGTATTTGCTGTGTTAGTGTTTATCAAGTGTGGGGCTTGGGCTAAGGTTCCTGTCTCACAGTATCACAGTATCACAATATCACAGTATGTTAGAGATTGGAAGGGACCTCAAAAGATCATCTAGTCCAATCCCCCTGCTGGAGCGGGAACACCTAGATAAGTTTACACAGGAAAGTGTCCAGGCGGGTTTTGAATGTCTCCAAAGAAGGATATTCCAAAACCTCCCTGGGCAGCCTGTTCTAGTGTTCCGTCACCCTCACTGAGAAGAAGTTTCTTCTCAAGTTTAAGTGGAACCTCTTGTGTTCCAGTTTGCACACATTTCCCCTTGTCCTATCATTGTTTGCCACTGAGAAGAGCCTGGCTCCATCCTCGTGACACTCCCCCTTTATATATTTATATACACTAATAAGGTCACCCCTCAGTCTCCTCTTCTCCAAACTATAGAGACCCAGCTCCCTCAGTCTTTCCTCATAAGGGAGATGCTCCACTCCCTTAATCATCTTAGTTGCCCTGCGCTGGACTCTCTCCAGCAGGTCCCTGTCCTTCTTAAACTGAGGGGCCCAGAACTGGACACAATATTCCAGATGGGGTCTCACCAGGGCTGAGTAGAGGGGAAGGAGGACCTCTCTCGACCTACTAACCACCCCCCTTCTAATACACCCCAGGATGCCATTGGCCTTCTTGGCCACAAGGGCACAGTGTCGGCTCATGGTCACCCTGTCATCCACCAGGACCCCCAGGTCCCTCTCCCCTACACTGCTCTCTAACAGGTCATTCCCCAACCTGTACTGGAACCTGGGGTTGTTCCTGCCCAGATGCAGGACTCTACACTTTCCTTGTTATATTTCATTAAGTTACTCCCTGCCCAACTCTCCAGCCTGTCCAGGTCTCGCTGGATGGCAGCACAGCCTTCTGGCGTGTCGGCCACTCCTCCCAGCTTAGTGTCATCAGCAAACTTGCTGATAGTGCACTCAATTCCCTCATCTAAATCATTGATGAATATATTACATAATACTGATCCCAGTACCGACCCTTGAGGCACTCCACTAGATACAGGCCTCCAACTAGACTCCGCCCCATAGACTACAACTCTCTGGCTTCTCCCCTTCAGCCAGTTCACAGTCCACCTCACTACCCGATCATCCAGACCACACTCCCTCAATTTAGCTGCGAGGATGCTGTGGGAGACCGTGTCAAACGCTTTGCTGAAGTCAAGGTAGACCACATCCACCGCTCTGCCATC